GGAGGACAGGTGAGGAGACAGTAGTACAGGTGAGGAGACAGTAGTACAGGTGAGGAGACAGTAGTACAGGTGAGGAGACAGTAGTACAGGTGAGGAGACAAGAGGACAGGTGAGGAGGACAGGTGAGGAGACAGTAGGACAGGTGAGGAGACAGTAGGACAGGTGAAGAGACAGGAGGACAGGTGAGGAGACAGGAGGACAGGTGAGGAGTCAGGAGGACAGGTGAGGAGACAGTAGTACAGGTGAAGAGACAGGAGGACAGGTGAGGAGACAGAAATGGAGGCGCTGCGGTGGTGCAGGGGTTAAACACGGCCCACGTAGAGGAAGGCCTGGGTCCTCGCCGCAGGTCCACAAAGTGCCACTCATAAATGATAATCGTTATAAATGATGAGCAGTGATATAAATGGCTGCTGCTCTCACTCTGTTGGCAGACAGAACCAGAGACGCGGCGTACCTGGGGAAGATCCTGGACGGGTTCACTCTGGCACAGAAGCCTCTGGAGCAGAAAACGGTCAGCCTGCACCCTGCCGCCGTCTCTTCGTGGAGGAAACTCCCCCTGACTCCTCTGTCCCTCCGCAGGTCTTCCCTCCACCAAACCTCCCCAGAGACTACCGTCCCGTCCATTTCTTCCGTCCTCCAGTGGACGTGTCCAGGCTGTGTGGGGTCAGCCCGGCGCTGGCCGAGGCCCTCAGGAGCTCCAGGGGCCACATGGTGAAGGAGGAGGCTCAGCAGGGCGGCCGCCACCAGCTGGACTCTGGCCAGAGGGGGGCGCTGCTGGGAGAGGACGCCCTGCAAGGTGAGGCATGCAGCGCTCCTGTAAAACCAGCAGGGGGCAGCACAGGCCACATCAGATGAACTGAGAGCAAATAAAAGTTCTGATGAATGAAAACATTAAAACCTAAAAGCCTGAGAAGTGCTGAAAAAAGGAGCGAGCTGCAGCGTTGAAATGTTTCTGCAGTGTGTGAGGAAAAGCCGGGTCAGGAACCCGATCCAGGTCCTGCTGTCACTCAATGGGCCACATTTAATTAGCTCTATATTTAATAATGATTATTCCTGTAACATTTTTAATGCGCTTAACAGACTTTTACTATAAAATAAAAACAGAAATGCAGAAATGTTCATTAAAATGAGTAACACTGTAAACCCCAGCAGGATATGAATACTTCCTGGCTGTGAATACTTCCTGGGTTTGCTGGCGCATCAGTGGAGCTCATCAGATTTCATTCTGACTGAGCATCTAGGATGCAGTGCTGCAGGAGATCTATGTGCTCTAGATCTTGTTGTGGAAAATGTTCTTTAACAAAAACTGTTTCAAACCCAAAGAGCCAGAGACAGAATATATTCTAATCAGTATTTATTCGAAGTCTCTGCTGACTGAACGCAGTCAGTAGACAGAGCCTGGAGCCGAACTCGGCTACAGTTTCATTCATTCAGTAACCTGCTTGGTTACAGATCAGACTCCAAACACACGGAGCGAAGCAACAATTTACCACCGAGGCCAGAGACGTTCGCAGGAATTGATCATTACATGAGAATCATTAAACTAATGCATCGATTCGCTCATAATCATGTAGCCATCTTTAAATTTTTCACTACAATCTGCCCTGGGTCACACGGTCAGGGTGACGTCATGGTGATGTCATCCTCCGGTTGCCCTGTGTTGGGTGTGATGGTCTGTAAACGTCCCGTCTCTGACCCGGTTCAGGTTCTGGTTCTGGACCTGGTTCTGTCATGGACCTGCTGCGACCTGAGGACCGCCAGCGCCTGCTCAGCCTCCGGACCGCCGTCGCCCAGAGGCCCTCCCAGGACGCGTCCCAGGCTCCGCCCCTCTCCGGCCTCCAGCAGGAGGCGCTGGCGGCCTGGACAGGCTCCTCCTCTTCCTCCTCCTCTTCCTCGCAGAGCTTCAAGCCGTTTGAGAAAACGCCGGGGAAGCAGGCGCGCTATGAGCGCTACCTGAGCCGTCTGCAGCAGGGCGACACAGGTAGGAGGAAGTGATGTCAGAACCGAGCGCAGCTACCTGGGGAACCTGTTGACCTGAGTCAGCCAGCAGGTTCTGGTGGTTCTGAGTCGGACCCGGCCTGAACCGGGTCCCGTGTCCCGCAGGCGCCCTGGAGCAGAGTCTGGACCCGGCCATGACGGAGTGGGAGCGCGGCCGCGAGCGCGAGGAGTTCCTCAGGGCCTCCATCTTGTATCGGCCGTCTTCCTCCTCGCTGTCGTCCCGCTTCACCCGCGCCCAGCAGCCGGACGCCGGGGACGCCAGGGACGCCGGCCGCGACCAGCAGGTAGGGCGCCGCTCTTCCTCAACTCCTCTTCCTCGCCCTCTTCCCCCTCACCGCTCTGTCTGGTTGCCAGGGCGACGGCCAGCAGGCGGCTAGCAGGACGTTTGGGAAGCTGACCAGAGAGACTCTGGAGTGGCATCCGGACCGGCTGCTGTGCAAGAGGTTCAACGTCCCCGACCCGTATCCCGGGTAAGAGAAAGACTGGAACCGGACCAGAACCAGACTGGAGCTGAGCTCTGACTCTCATTGGTCCCCAGGTCGGCCCTGGTCGGGCTACCGAAGGTCAAAAGGGACAAGTTCTCCGTCTTCGACTTCCTGACGGTCTCGGAGCGCCAGGAGGTGGCAGGTGGGTCCGGCCGGTCTGGAACCGGATCTCTGACGCCTCAGAGCCGGTTCTGGATCCGAATGCAGCACTGATCCATCAGGAAGCCTCAAATGGTTTTCTGTGACGTAGTGTGGCAGGGTCAGAACCCAGTAGCACCGGTTTCAGCTGTGGCACCAGTCATGTCTGGAGTTTGACTAGGCCATGTCCTGACCTTTGACCCCAGTGTCAGGTTTTTGAGTCCGTCTTCCCACAGCATGATGCTGCCAAGCAGATCTGCTCTTGGCCGGGTCCAAGTTCACAGGGTGCCGACACTTTGTCCTTCTGTGGCTCTGCAGCTCCTCCAAAGCCTCTGGAGGAGAAAAAGTCCAGGTGGGACATCTCCAAGGAGACGGGCCACACCCAGAACCAGGCCGGGTCCAAACCCTCCGGGCCGGCGCCAGATCACCGCCCGTCTCCTCCTCAGGTCCGACTGCTTCTGTTTCTGCTTCTGCTCCTGGTTCTGGACCATAACCTCTGTTTCTCCTGCAGGGGCCGCCAGCAGAGCCGTACACAGCCAAGGAGGAAGAGGAGGAGGAGGAAGAACGGCCGCCTATGGATCTGTTCAGAGCCATCTTCATCAGCTCCTCCGAGGAGAAGTCCTCCTCTTCATCAGAGGAAGACGGCGATGAAGACGAGGAGGCAAAGGGAGACGAAGAACCGGTGAATTTGTTTGGCATTGCCTCCTCTTCGTCCTCCAGCCGCCTTGCAGGTCCTGTCCTCTCGTCCCCTGTGGATTTTCCCAGCATGCCTCTGGCTCTCAGTTCCTCTTCCTCCCAGATGCCAAGCCGGGAGGAAGACGAGGAGTTTGGACCCAAGCTGCCGCCTCCTTCAGCAGCTGACGGTGAGAAATCCTTTAATCTCCATGGCAACCATTCAGCTGCTAAACGCCTGGGTGGACCTAGCCCCGCCTTCGAGGCACAGCTCCTCCCCCTCTCAGCTCCTTCAGACTAGCCAGCAGCAATTAGCAAACAGCTGCTGAGCTTATTGCAGTAGTTGCTGCTCAGAGCAACGCTGGTAAAAACATTAAAGGGTTAATAGAGGAGCCATGTTGGATGTCTTCCTGGAGACGGAGCTTCAGGAAGAGCAGGAGCTTCTTAAAGAGACAGAGGCCCAATTTCATGATGTTAAAACAGGAAGTAATATTTGATAAAGAATTTTTATAACTGACAGTAAAATAGTTGTTCTAAAACGGAACTATGTGCTGGAAAACAGAACACTGCCCCTTTAAAACGTCTGCCTGTTGTTCTCCTGTTCAGCCACAGGAGGCGCCATCGCCGCCTACCAGAGGAGCAGCAGGAGGAGTAAAGAGAAGAAGCAGAAGAAGAAGCAGCAGAAACACAGGAAGGAGAAGAAGGTAGAGGAAGATGAAGAAGAGAGGGCGTCGGCTCCTGCGGGCCCCGCCTCAGCTTCTCTCTCTCTGTTTCTGCAGAAGAAGAAACACAGGAAGCACAAGGCGAAGCAGCAGAAGAAGAGTCGGGAGGAGGAGTCCAGCAGCTCTGAGGACAGCGAAGGCGTTCAGCCGTCCACAGACGACCTGCTGAGAAGGTCAGAGGTCACAGAGAGCTTCAGGGTTCTGTCGGACCAGCCCATCTTGTTCTAACCAGACCTGTCTTTGACCTGGTTCCAGGCTGAAGAGCATCCGGACCCCGAACACCTGGTGACCCGCAGAGCATATATTCTTCTGCTGTCTAATAAACACTTGAATCATCTGAGTGGTGGTGGTGCCTTCATGGTCAGTTGGACTCTGCAGTGTCCTGCTGTGCACTGAGCAAACCTGGTTCTTCTGGGTTCTGGTCCAGAGGAGTCCAGCTGTGATTTGTCAGTTCCTGTCACCTGACCAGGTTGAAGCATTCCCATTGGGTCAGAGATTTCTCTATCAGGCTGAGGAGTTCCAGCTTCCTGGAGGGAGGAAGAGCTGAAGGCTGGAAGAACCTTCTGAAAGCGAAAAATATAAATATATAAACACATATGTAAAAGTATAAAATAAAAATTTATGACACAGATATGGAATATTTTTAAGAATGTATTTTAGATGTAAACATTTAAAATATGTATACATACGTATTATAAATAACATTTTTTTATATTTCCTATTTGTACAGCTGTCTGAACAGTTTGTCTCACGGCTCTTGAACGCACCATCTCAAACACGTCGCTAGGGCAACAGCTAACAAGAAGCTTCGTCAGCTTCACGGTTTTTTATCTTCGTTTAGGTTTTTATTAGAAATAACTTCGCTAAAGCTGGAGCCTGTGGTAGTGCAGCAGCCTCCCGGAGGAGGAGGAAGCCCGCAGGAGGACGAAGGAGCAGAGTGGAGCGAAGAGTCTCAGGTGACTTCTACCTGTACGAGTTAGCTTTAGCTTAAAGCTACATTCAGGGCCGCTTTTTCTGTATCTGTGAACAAAATTATGTTAAAGTTGAACTGAATGAATTCCAGTCATCTCAAAACAAAATATTCACTCTGAAAGAACAAAAGAAAGGATTGAATTCCTGGTTAAAAAAAAAAGATTTAACCTTTTATTCATTTAACAGAAAATGTGTGTTCATACTTGAGGAAAAAGTTAGTGAACCCCCCCAGTGTAGACACCTTTGGCTGAAGTCCATTAGAGTGAAGCGTCCTGTCTCCATCAAGGATCTCTGGTGCCTCAGCCGTGAGGCGTTTGACGAAGCTGAAGTTGGTTTCCAATTCTAGCTTCCAATAGCTAAAGGGCGATTCCACTTAATTTTTCACTACTTTCCGCATCTATAATCAACTCTAGTTTAAAAACTACTACACCTAGACACTTCAAACCTGGACTGGATTATTCTGCTCTAATAGCAGAATATTTAAAACCATGTTTGTGATTTGTGAAACCTTTATGTGATTTGTGAAACTTCACTAAAGATCAGGTTACTATTCTTATATGTTCCATGCAGTTTTTTTTTCAAATTCAATTCTAATTCAAAACCACTTTATTAATCCCAGTGGGAAATAAAATGTTGGTGTAACTCATTAATTTTTCAAAGAGTTATTGTAGATGGTGATGGCTGTTGGAAGGACAGATCTTTTGCAGGGGTCTGTTAAGTGAAGTTTCACAAATCAGAAAAAGGTTTCACAAATCACAAACACAAATATTCTAGTATTAGAGCAGAATAATTTAGTCCAAGTTTGAAGAGTCTAGGTGTTGTAGATTTGGAACTAGAAAATTCCTGAAGAAATGTAAATGGGGCCTGCCAAAGTGTGCCCGTCGGTTTGCACCCAGCGTTCTGATGCTAAAAATTAGCATTAATGCTAAAGAAAGCTTCAGTGTAGTCAATAACCTCTGAAGAGTCAGAAGCATGTGGACTAAGCTGTACTTGTACCATTCAGTATGTTAAAATTAATGCATAAACTAAAATTTGAAAACATGCTAATGTTAGCATGAAGACTAGTATGTGGGGCATCATTAGCATGTTCTCTGTCATTGACTTACTCCATTCAGTATACTAAACATGGCAAATAATTAAGAAATTTAACAAATAGGTTATTTTAGGTAAAAGGCTAATGCTAATGCGCGCAAGGCAGTGCACTAGTGGGGGGCAGTGAAATGCTAATGTTTGTGCTAATGTTAATGAACTGCCTTGCTGCGCAATAATAAAGATAAATAATAAATAATAAAGAGACATTCTATTGGGTGTAGAACAATAGGTGCCTGCCATGCAATGCATGGAGGCAGTGACTGACTTGCAAGTCGGTCAC